GCCTAAAAAAACAACTTTGTAAAAATATTAAATACGATCCTTGGGCTATGTATGCAAGATTCGAGTATGTAAATATTGAAATACTTATCGACGATAATAACATTCACACTACGCGTAAGATACTTTCCTAGGCGAGTCGTACAATTTTAATTTAACGATGAAGAAGAACACGAGAAAAATTTACATTGTTGTTGTAGTTGTTGTTATTGTTGTTTAATATAACTCGCTTGATTCCATCTCTAACGGCGATCATGTTTTCATTTTTTTTTCTATTTTTGTCTATTAAACGTCGAGAAATCGTCTATAAAGATCACTTATACATTTATAGATTCTCGAACAATCATTGTAAATATTTTATACACATATACAAGATGATCCAAATTTGTCTAATATTCCATTATCAATTAAAAATTATTTTCATTACAGTAATTGAAATTATTGAATTTTCTATTTTATTTCTCTTTATACGTAAAAATATTGAAAAAGTTTAGAAATAGATATTTTAATTTGTTAATTATCACAATATTTTCATAGAATTAAAACGATAACACCATTAACTCTCTTTGCGACACAGAATTTCAAATAATAAAATAGCCTTACTTATGTTGCATAGAGAAATTTGATTACGTTTTAAATTAAACAAAATTGGTATATTTTTTACATAATGTAATAAGAATTAATAACCAATTGTTTTGCGTAAATAAGACGAAATATAAACTTATGAACATGTGTAGCTATTGCAATAATATTTCGAGGTGGGACTAATCAAAATGTCTCAACGTACATTATGGTGTATCAAAAAAAAGGTAGGACACTTTTAATCCCACCAGTACCTCAAAAACTTGTACATGGATCATCTTATTTATATATATATATATATATCTAATATATTAATATATTTACTAATTGAATAATAATTTCGAACTATACATAATTCGCAATCTACTTTCAGTCATTTCAATTAAATGAAAACTTCGTCTTATGTATGTTCGAACGATCTAACACGTTTAAGTTTAGATTACATTGTTTTTTTCTTTTTAATTATTATTCCTGTTAGTCATTGTGCGTGAGTGTTCCAGAAGTGAATTTCAATTCTATTTTGTTCCTTATTTCAAAAGAAAACAAAACAAAAATACAAGGCAACGATAAAGAGCTAACAATTATAACATCGCTCATCTATATTGCACATGTAATTGTTTGTATTTTTTTGATGATATGTTACACAACGTAAGTCTAATGTATATGCGTCTGATGGTATGCATCAGAACGACGAACAACAACAAATTTACATTAAAAAAAAAAAAAATAAAAAAAATGAATGCAATAAGAAGTACAATGACATTTGACTATTAATTCATAGAACACAATAGTCGTAAAATCATTTAATTGCACAAATGCAAATTGAACATGATCATCATCATCATCATTATTATTAATTTTCATTTTATACACACGAAAATCGATCGATCGCCGTTATTATTAATTTCGTTAGAGAAGATTAATTCTTCTGTATAATTCTTAGATGTGTGTTAATCTTCATATTTTTTTTTTTTTTTTTAACTTGAAACGCATAATAATCTACTAACAACGACAAATATGACGCCACTATTAACGACGAAGCTCACTCTCTCTCTCTCTCTCTCTCTCTCTCATACTTAAATCTTTCGTAGAAGAAGAAGAAGAATTTGTTTATCAATAATTCATTCACGTCTCAAATCTCACATATCATTGTTTTTGTTTCTTTTTTCTTGTTGTTTTGTTCTTGTTAAATTTTAAAAACGATATAAAGATTCACAGGCTGATCGAGTATAAGTGTTATTACATTTTTTTATATGTATATTATAATCAAGAACATCTTGTGCCTTTTCAAACGCTTAATTAATTCTTCTATTATTTGGGCCACGATGTGTGTATTTATGTATGTATATATATATATATATATTTATATATGTGTTTTGTGTGTGTGTATATGTGTGTTAGAAACATCAGAAGAAGCTAGCAGCATCTCGCAAAATTTTGTTAATTATTATGACGTGCGTGATATATTTTTTTATTTTTTAATTTCTTCTTGCTTATGTGTATCTGTATAATGTGTATGTATGTGTACATATTGTTTGTTTTATTATTTTTTTTGGAGGGGGGGGAGGGGAGGGGTAGTACTCTTTTCCTGTTTTCTATTTTCCATCGTGTGTATTCGTTTTCTTAATCGAATATGATCATCTCCTTATGCCAGGATATATTTGGTTGACAACTAAGTTCCCATCATCGTTGTTGTTTCTTCTTTTTTTTTTTATTTTTTTTTTTTAAATTTAAATAACAAGGGAAGCAATAAATAAATGCATTAATTTATATTTGAAAAAATAAACAACTATGAAGAAAACAAAAACAATGTTCGAACTACGGAAACTTAATTGCCAATCTAATATTCATTGATTTATTTTATTATTAATATTATTATTAATACTTTTACGTTGGGTTTTCTTTGTTTGTTTTGTTTTGTTTATTACTTTGTTTGTTTGTTTGTCAGGGGCAGCACAGCACAGCAAAGACGCCGAAGGTATTCGATAAACGCCAACTCCCTAGCAAATGCATCCACTTTCTCCCTCCGATTCGGAACCGTTCTGCAGTGAAGATTGATTCTGCAAATCGACAGCTACTTTTGTGTGTTAAGGTGTGCGTGTGATATATACATATCACACGAAGTATCTCGTCATGATGAATTTTGGGGAAGAACAAATTCTAAATCACCGTTGGTTGTAAAAAAAAAGAAAAAGATAAAACACTTTGGACGTATCCTTGTTTTTTTTGTTTTCTGTTGACTCCTAAAACACGTGCCCTGTTTACACGATTAATTAATTAATTAATTAATTAATTATTATGAAAAATGAAAGAATGATAAGCATCGTACAACGAGAACCACTTGTTCCACCTAAATTGTGTATGCATTTTTGAAAATTTGTCACCATTTTATAGTCTCCTATTTCTTGTTGTTTTTTGATTGAAAAAAAAAAAAATAGAGTGTGTAATTTGAATTAACAATTAATTATTTAATACTAAACACGATTCTTACGTTAGTCATACAAAGCGTAATTAATTAGAGCATCGTTTCGAGAGAAGATATTAGCAAAACACACGTATTTATGTATTATTTTATTATTATTATTTATATATTATGTTAACTATCGCAAGAAACTATAAACTGTGTTTTATTTGACGATAAAGCGTATAAAATCTAAACTGTTCGAAAATTGGGACGGAAAGTTCCCTATAATAGTAGCTTTACGTGTATATATATATATATATACTATTATAATATAAGTTTAATAATTTTACGAAGCACCGTAATGAAATATTCTTGCTCGTAAATGTGTGGCCTTAATTAACAATTAACTTGTAATTGTTTATATATAGAATAGAGAGTTTAAACAATAATAATAATAATAATAATAATACAAAAAAAGCAAATGCATTTCTATGGTGTCTGTGAGAAGAAGAAGAAGAAGAATAAAAGGAAATTTCAACAACGATAAAAATTAAATAAAATAAATAAATAAATAAAAATCACAATCATCTACAAATAAACAAATTACAAATTAATGTGAATGTATGTTAATAATAAGGACGACGTACAGGAATATGTATGTGAATATATAAATTTATAATTAGCGAATGATAAGAAATCATTGTAAATAAGAAAAAAAAAAAACTATGCAAGGAGTAATCTTTTTTTTTTATATATAAATTAAAATATTACAATAACAGAGATATTAACAAAAGTGACGTTAAAATAGCTATCCATATAGTAGTTACGTTTATCCATATATACATATACATATATATATATATGGATATATATATACATATGTTACGTCAGATGTGATCAATAAGTGTGTTACTTTTAAACTTCAAGCTTTTTTCTCTTTTTTTTTTTTCTTTTTTAATTCCTTTTTCTATTTTTTTTTTCTTTCTTTCTTTTCTTTTTTCGAGAATTCATTGATATCTCATAGTTAGTACATTTGACTCGTTTTTTTTTTCTTTTCTTTTAATATACTTCAATAAAATGACCTCAGTCAGTAAAATATTATCTATTGAGGCGTGATCACAATGCACAAGGAATTCAAAAATGCAATTAAATTGTGTTTGACCCGTAGCGCGCGCGAAGTTTTTTCTATTCTTTTCTTTTCTTTTCTTTTTTCTTTTCTTCCATTTGCAAACAAAATTAATTTTAAATAATAATATAATAAATATATATATATATATATATATATATATATTAAATACAAAAAAAAATATA